GAGGAAGTATCTGGTTGACCTACCTCGCCCACCTAGGCTCCAGCTAACTGGGCCCTTTGAGTACATTCCCAAAGATACTTTACCAACATAGGGAGGTGATTTCCTCAACAGCCCAAGGGAAGGGGAACAATCTCCAGGCTGCCCTACATACCCATCTTCCCATGGATGTATCCCATCCCAAATATTATCTAACACTTCCATACAGATGATTCCAAAGTGTTGTCACTTATAGCACCCAGGTCCCAAACCAAGATCCTTGGGGGATTTCAGTTTCTTCTCAGCGCTGTCACGGCCTCTTCTTTTGCACAGCCTGAGTCAAATGGGGCTGTGACCACCCTGTGTCTCACTAGCTTGAGTGCCACCCCTTTCTCCAGCTTCATGGTTCATGTTTCTTGTTAACAGTTTAGAGAGGTATTATAATATCCAGCAGTAGATTTTAAAAGCAGAAAGGGAGATCAGAAATTTGGGGGATTCTATCAAAAATACACATGTTCCTCCAACCTGGCCTCACTGCATGCAGGACACATCCCACTCTCTGGAACAAATTCTGCTTTTGATTCTGTCCTCACCTACTCGTCCCTACCTTGGAAACCTCCAGCAGAGGGAAGAGAGCATCTGTTGGTCTCAGGCCTGCTTTTTACACATTACACAACTTTTGACAGGTCATTCACCTCCTCCCAATGAGGGGACAAAACGGAGGTTTCGCTCCTCTGTCCCTGCAGAATGACCCATGCTATGTTACACGTCCGACTTAGTTATTTCATTCCACCGCCCTGACCCCACTGAGGGAGGAATATTATTTTGTGTCCCATGGTTCATCCATTAGTCCAGATTGCTCCTGTGTACCTCCATGACCACACCTCTGAAATGGAAATAAGAACCTTTAAAATGAATCTTGTATCTGGCTTAGGGTTTGCATTAGAGCAGGTGAGGCCAACAGAGGATGTTTTGCTTGTTCTCTTTATCTCTTCTTGCTGTAATCCTTCATTCTGCCTCTCCTCCTTTCAGTGGAGGATCATAGCTTTCATTAACATCCAGTATGAACTTCATGACCTGGTCCTTTCCCTGCATTTGTGTATTGTTTTCCTTAAGTTTGTTTGTTTGTTTTTCCTAATCATTTAAATGAGTTTACCCTCAGTTTTCTTAGGGTCCACCAACCTATGGGTATAGATTCTTTTACAAATTGTTACTCCAGGGCCGGGAAGTTAGCTCAGTGGTTCCACTGCCTGCCTCGAAAGCACAAGTTCCCAAGTTCGATCCTCAGTACCAAAAAAAAAAAATTGTTACTCCAATCTTAGTGATCTTCTGTTCACACGCGAACAGTGTAGAATTGTAACCACTCTTTAATGCACTTCCTGGTCATTGCTGGAACTCTCCACAGGAGATGTCCTGGGAGCTCGTGAACTGGTAGGAATTTTACCAACTTTGAGATTTGTCCCCTGGAAGCCTACAGTTTTCAAATGTACAAGGAGGATGGTAAGAACCTCCTCATACAGCTATTCTGAAGGTTAAATTAGATAGTGTATCTAAAGCAATTAGCCTTTTGATCGGCCTGGGTTCTACACTGAATAAATGGAGTGTGTGGGTGTCATCTGTTGAACAACTGCTAACAGGCCTGGCTTGCCAGCTGGCCCGAGCTGCTGACATGATACCCAGGCACACCAGCTGGTTACAGGAAGGTGGTGGAAGGCGAACGGGTGGCTGATGACCATAAAGCAGTCTGCTATTTTGTTCTTGCTATCCCATTTGATAGTAAAAGGTTTTCTCATTGGCTTCTTTGGGGTGCCGGGATCAGAGACCTGCTCATATTAGGATCCATCATATGGAATTATGAATTATATGAAATTATATTCTTGTAGATCAAAAGTCAACATTTTTTTGGTTTCAACCAAATGCTTAGAGAGCGATGTCAGCAAGTAGGTTCGTTCTCTTCAACTGTCCTACTTCGTGTTGTTTTTAAGTAATTAATATATTATGGGGGATTGTCCACTTTAATGGATACAAATCTACATCCTTCTATCAGACAGATTGTATTCCATCCTATGGATAGCTTAGATTTTTTTTTTTTGGTACCGTAAATCAAACTTGGGGACTTGCACTTGCCAGGCAGATGCTGTGCCACTGAGCTATATTCTCAGCCTGGATAGATTAGATTTCTAATCTAATTAGATCAGAAATTCTCCTATTCATGGACATTTAGGTTGTTTCCAGACTTTGTGGTTCTTCTTACAAATAATGATGCAATAGAAATCTTTATATATAAATCTTTAAGTATGGTTTTGAGTGTACCTATAGGACAAACCACTAGAAGTTGGGTTGCTGAGCTGAAGTGCATACTCATTTGCAATTTTGTCAGAGATGGCAAAGTTCCCTTTAAAGAAGTTGTCCCAATTTAGATCCCCATCAACAGAGAACATTCTTGTCCTATCAGTGTTATCAAACTTGATAAGCTTTGCCAATATAATGGGTTTAAAATGGAATTCTGGTGTCCTGGTTTGTATTTATTTTATTATATGTTAGGTGAAACAGTTCTCACATATTGTTATTTATTTTCTTGTTGTATGTAGTAGTCTGCCCCAGCCGCTGTAACAAAAATCTCAGATGGGGTGGCTTCAGCAGCAGGAATTTATTTCACATAGTACTGGAGGCCAGAAAGTCCAACGTCAAGGTGCCAGTTGATTTGGTTTCCTGATGGGGACCCTCCTCCTGGGTTATAGAGGGCTGTTTGCTTCCTACGTCCTTACATGGTGATAGTGAGGGGTATTGGGGAAGAGATAGAGAGGGAGATGGGAGGAGAGGAGAACCTGGTTTCTGTTCCTCTTCTTAGGACACTGATTCCTCCATTGGGGTGCAACCCTCATTACCCCATCTAAATCTCATAACCCCCCAAAGGCCCCATCTGAAAATACCATGATCCTGAGTGTTAGAGCTTCAGCTCTGAATTTGGGAGGACACATCCTTCGATCCACAACACCCACAAACCACCTGTTCACACCCTTCTTCCTGTCTCTATTGACTCTTCCTTTTCTTACTGATTATTAGGATGTTTTATAAAAGAAAAAAACTAGCAGTCTAGGGTCCATTTTGGAAGCACCTCAGGTTTTCTGCTTCAGTCTTTACATGTCACATGTGGCCTGGGGTAGGGACAGTGTGTGGATGGGTTACAATGCTTGAGCTGCAATTATTTGTCTCATGATTTGCTCTTCGGTCTTATGTTTGTCACGGACTAAGAGAAATCCTGTTAGTCTTAATTTTAGAATTTATTTTCTCAAAACACTTGCAAGTTTCCCTACCTGGATCTTGCCTCGAAGAAAATGTGTTGACTATCGGGAAAAAGGAGAGAGGGAGTTACTAGGAGGACTGAGAAGGAGAGTGGTGGAGGGTCAATAGAATCAGGAGGTTAATGGCCCAGTCCTCCTCCCCTTACTTTTCCTCTGGTTCATTCTTTCTCCCTTCCTGTTTCCTTTCCTTTCCTTTCTGTTTTGCTGCCTCTTTCCCCCTTTGTTTCTGGCTGCATACTATAAAAATACAGTTCTGGTGTTTGCGGTTAGATTCCCACCATGGGGACCCTGCTGGAATTTCGAATCACTCACCATAATTGAACTATAAATTAGAGAATTCTTATGAATAGAATAGGATGGAATGTGGTTTCGTGTTTTCTTTCCCCAGGGACCCTGCTCCACTTGGCAAGAGAAAACTAAATTAGAGGAGGGATTGGTTCTAGGAAGTGGGGTTTTTAGTATAGCTGCATGTCTAATCCAAACATTACAGACGGTGTCTTAGTTAGCTTTGTTACTGAGAGGTCAGGAGGGGGAGGATAACTTGAATCCCAAATGTGCCAGAAACATATTTCCACCTTTCTCCATGTATCCCATTTATCCCCCCACTAGAACAACTATAAAAGTGGGTTTATTCCTACTCATTTTCACCTTGCAGTTTTCCACCAATAGCACAGGCAGGGATGTAATGTGCTGCAGAAAAATAAAACAAAACAACAATAAAAAATAATCCTATATATATCAGGGGTAAAGAGCTCAGTTTTAGTCCCGTCTATGCCTCCCACAGCCTGAAATCTTGGCAAGCTGTAGCCCTTAGGCCCTCAGTTTCTGTTCTGTAAAAGGAACAAAATAGTAACAACCTGCCAGGGCGGCTGGGAGGGCACTGGGGGGCTGCAGGGAATATGACCTAATACCAGGGCTGCCTCAGCTGTGGAGCTGGTCCGAAAACATAGGTTCTGTCTGCACAGAGCCTGACATGGAATATAGCATGGACTGCCAAGTGCTGGTCCCTTTCTTTCCTCCCTTGGCCCAAAAGCCCAACACACTCTATTATTTCAACAAACTACCGCAAACTCTGTTTACAAAAACAGAGATGCATTCCCTGTGCAGTTTGGGAGGCCAGACATTCAAATCAACATGTCACCAGAGCTGGGTTCTTTCTAAAATTCCTGCAGGAGAATCCTTCCTTGCCTCTGAACTTCTGTTGGCCCCAGACATTCCTTGGCTTGTGGGCACATCAGTGTATTCTCTGCTATGGTGGTCAGACTGCCTTCTTCTCACTCTCTGTGTCTTATAAGTTTATAAGGATTTAGGAGCCATGCCTGGTGGCACACACCTCTAATCCCAGCTCTCAGAAGCTGAGGCTGGAGGATCACCACAAGTTCAAGGCCAGCCTGGGTTACACAGTGAGTTCAAGGCTAGCCCGCACTGCATATCCAGACCCTGTCTCCAACAACAAGAACAAAAACAAAAAAAAGGATATAGGCACCACTGTATAATCTAGGATGATCTCATCGCAAGATCCTTAACTTAATTACATTTTGAAGGGCCCTTTTGCCAAACGTGGTCAGACTCGTAAGTTCTGGGAGTCAGTGTGTGGAAAGGCCCACCACCAACCCACTCAACATACTTCAGGTATAGACTTTTACAGATCAAGACCTGATAGGCATATTTTTCCCCCCAGCCATTCACCATTATTTTAGTATTAATAATCAGAGTAGGTCAGAGAGAAGAAAGAACATTGTGTTTGTTTTGTTTTATTATTATTTTTGTTTATTTGAGACAAGGTCTTGCTATGTAGTCCAGGCCGACCTTGAACTCACTATGTAACCCAGGCTGGCCTCAAATCGGCAGCGATCCTTCTGCCTTAGCCTCTTGAGTGCTGGGATTACAGGTGTGTACCACCATACCCCATCTTGTCTTGTTTTTACAAGCAGGTGATACACCTCTTTCTCAGAAGCCCACCATAACAGGGGTCTACAGGACAAGTTCACATGCCTGCTTGAGGTCATGGCAGCCTTGGGGACTGTGAGCAGCGGTCGCCCAGAATACACCTTCTTCTGTCTTGTGCTGGCTCTGACCCTATCTCCAGCTGGCTCCCCCCACATCACCTGTGACCTCGCTTAGCCTCTCTCCAAATGCAGCGCCCCAAGACTGGCTGTCTAGGGCGGCTGTAGACTGCCACCAACTTAGCTTGGGGGGGGGGTGCCCATCCCTTCGGTGGATGCTTGCTTGATTCCTGGGTTGCTTGGGCTCTCTCACCTTCCTGCCCTGATCATTTCCGGAACCTTCCAGCACCCAGTGAAGCGATACAGGGTCACTCTGTGCACTACAGTGTCCTCGAAGGAAGGTGACATCAAGGTCTTGGACCTCTTGGGCCAAACAGTGCTGTCCCAAGCCAATGCTTAAAGAATAAAAGCGGAGATAATCTAGGGGCATTTTTGCACTGCAGTTAGAAGTCCATAGTTTGGTGGGAAAAAAAGGGTCCAAAGGAAAGTCACAGAGCTGCTCAGGGTCCCCGGGGAGGGTGGACATTGGAGGACAGGCTCAGGAGCCACTATCTCCTGGGGCGAGAGCAAAGGGACTAGATGTGCAGGCGACATCTGGGTGTAGACCTTGCTGTGGCGAAGTGCCCAGACCAGCTCACATGACGTCTTCGGAGCGGACACAGCACAGGGCTGTGGGCCTCTGTGAAAAGACCAGTTAAAGGAATGAAGGTGTGGGGTCTCTCTGGACAGAACTTGTAAACTTCCTGACACTTTCCACCTCTTCTGATTCACATGGAAGCAGGAAAATCACCATGGTGCTTAGTAACAAGTGCTTAGGGCCAAGCTCTCTGCTTTGGCACTAATGACCTCACCTAAGACTTCTCACTGGGTGCCAGTGCTTTCCTCCTTTCAAGGCCGCAGGCTCCAAAACTTCCCAGGCCCATTGCCAGGAAGTGGTGGCAGGAGTGTGACCGCAGAGACTCTGGCTGAAAACTGTGGTGTCCACTGCCTCTACCGCAGGGGGACACGGGGCTCACCTTCCCTGCAGGGCAAGAAGTTCAGCTCTCTGACCTGAGTTGGAGGATAAGGGGGCTCCAGTCTTCAGTGTCACAGCTCCAAAGTCAGGGCTACATTGGGACTTTTCTGGGTCCTAGGCTCTTCTGGCTTTGTGGGCCCCTTCATATGTACCTACATAGACAGATAAAGATGAAAATTCGATTTTATGGCCAAGTTAGTGTAAAGATGACTATAACCCTGGCTGATGGATAGTCACTGCAGTCACCTTGCTCTTTTGATTTTACTTTTTATCTTTTGAGACAGGGTCTCGCTATGCGGTCGAGGCAAGTCTTGGACTCTACATAGCCCAGACTGGCCTGGAAGCGATCCTCCTGCCTCAGCCTCCTGAGTGCTGGGATGGCGGGCGTGCTCTCCCACTGGTTCTAGCACAGCCCCTGTGCCTGCAATGCTCAGCCCTCCGTCGGGGTGCTGCTTCCCTAACCGTCCTCTGTCTCCGCAGGTCCCGCAGCGGATGGCGGCGGAGGGCGGCCCCGAGGACGGCGGTGGCGCCCCTGGCGTGTGGGGCTCTTGGGGGCCCTGGTCCGCCTGCTCGCGCAGCTGCAATGGCGGCGTCAAGGAGCAGACGCGCCCGTGCCTGCCCGGCTCCCCGGCGCGCGCCTTCGCAGTGTCCGGCCACGTGGTGTCGGCGGTGCGCGCGTCCGTGCCGCTGCACCGCCCCCGCGAGGAGCCGCGCGCGCCCGCCCGAGCCCGTGCCCACGCCCACGCCCACGCCCACGCC